TACTTGGATATGATTTGAATAGTTATTTTATGTAAAGGCGATTTATTAGGGGAATCCAAGAAATCTAAGGTGGAAAGTTTTGAAATTTTGAATGCTATTTAGCATTATGACTCAGTTAAAGGATATCATAAAATTGAACCAAAACAAATTTAGCAAACTCCTCCAGATCACAAACCATATGAAAAATGTGGCTTGAAATATGACATGAGGTGAACCAAACGTTAAATCTAAAATCTACCCAAATCGATATCAATAATGGGTGAATGTCAATATGTAACTGAAGTTGAATTTAAAAAAAATTAACAGCAACAAAACTCTTAAATTCTCCTATTTTCCATTTCTTGACTTTGATGTAAGTGTATTATAAATATAGGCAAACATTTCAAAATTTGTCTGCACATGTGTACACACTGTTATAGGATGTCAGGATACTTTGAATCAATTTGACAAACTTATCTTTCAAATCCAGTCACCCTCAGTAATTAAAAATGAATTTTTGTCATAATTTCAAGATAGGTGAAACAAAGATTTAACCAGACATTACCTCCATATAATACATGTGGCAGAATGATAGCTGATGGTTCAATTTGGCCAAGCTGTTCAGAAGAAATTGTAATTATTATTTCCCCTCTGCTAATAAATTCTTACAATTGTGTTTATAGGTACTCCAAAAACTTTCATCATTCCAACTGTTCCTACTAAAGGTAATCAAAATCTTTTAAATAAAATGTGTCTTATAATTTATGTTCCCTCCTTCATATCAAAACATGCGAATACCATTGGGTAATTCCAGAAAATATTCATACCATACCACGGGCAGCATCTTGGAATTCCAATGGAGAGGGGGGGTTCTTGGACTTGAATTCTGAAGACATGGGGGGTAACGCAGTTTGGAATTCCAAACGCATGGGAGGGTTCATGCCGCCTGTGGTAGGGTATGGATATTTTCTGGAATCACCCATTGATGTTATTGGATCCACGAGACTCTACTGAACTTGTGGTCGTATATTTTTCACACTTTTTTAGAGTGTACATTGTTCTCTAGCTAGCAGTCATCCCATTACTTGTTTGCTCAGTCTTGCCACTCAACTTTTCACTTGCTGAATGCTCGACTGACTAAAAAGGGAATGCTAGTGCTAGTCTAATTAGTGACTGGACCATGATGTTATCTTATGACAAAGGAGATTAAGAAACAAGAATTAAGTCACAACTGTATGTGTATGCCCTTCTGATATTAATATTACTGTAAAACTTGTCAGCTGATATACTGACCAGATGAAAAGTGGTACTTTTTGTGATAAATTATTATTAACACTCAGGGCAGCTATAATTTATATCATTAAATCTAATGTGTAACTGACTTGTTATCACTGTTTTATGAAAGTGCCCTTCTTCTGTTATCTAACTCAGTGCAATAAAAAGCTTGCCTGATTTGAATTCTGCTTCCATGGTAAGCTGGATTTCCAGCCATATAGTAAGCCTGTGATCCTTGCCCCATGCCCTTGCTTGGAGGAGGATGACAGCCCGTCTCTCAAAATGGCTGGAAATCGAGCCTACTTCAATGAAAGCTGTTGTGCAACTTTTTAATTTATTTTACTTGTACCATGGAACCCTGCCTTACATGACTTCATTAATACAGTCACCTCATTATTACAGCCAATCCTTTTTGTCAAGGCAAAATGCCCATACATTTTTTATAGGAAAACTCCGTTAATCTGGCCACCTTTGTTAATATGGCCAATGGCCTTATTCTGAAATCCCAACCTGTCGAATCCTCCATGATTTTAACCCGTTAATATGGCCTTTTGAACCACTCATGTTCATCTTTCCATTGTTAATATTGTAGGTACGGATTGAAGTTTCAACTTTGTTATGAATTATACCTGCATTTAGAATGCTTATTAAAGAACAGTTGTTTAGAAGGGCAATTGTGATGTCTATCAAGACATCACTTAGAAATATAGACCGTTAATACAACCACCCCGTCAATACAGTCAAATTTACATGGCCAGCTGGTAACTGTATTAACATGGGTCCATTGTATGTATCCTTGCTTGGAATGCGTTTTATTTTTATTAATTTTGTCTTTGTTATGCTAGACACTGCAAGATTCGTAGGTTCCATTGTGGGAGGGTTGATAGCTGGAGTGGTACTGCTGGTGATTTTGTATTGTGCAGTTAAATGGAGAAGGAAAACTCTGTGTCCAGGTAAGCTGTACATGTAAATATTAAGTTGAAAAGTAATGAAGATTTAACACCATTAATTAATTTAAAGCCATGGACATTATTTTGTGGCACAGTAAGTTAAACACAGAACAAGCCAATACATCAAGGCTGAGGTGTTCAGCCTGCCAATCATAAATCCCAACAGGCGTCCAGTGGGCAAATTTGATTGGTTAACTGACTCAAGTGTCATTTTGGTGAGCTATAGCTTCCTACAAAATTGGCGAGCTTTACAAACCATGAGCATAACAGAAAGTTTAATGAGTTCTTCTCCTGCATTAGGAATCCCGAGAAATTTGGTAAAAGCGTTTAGAAATTGTTTTTCAAGGTTGCCATGTAGGAATCCGATATATCAGAGATTTCGTTAATTTTGTTTGTAAACAGTCTTTGATACATGTAGCTGACATATCGCATTTCACGAGTGCAATGTAAGTGTGTTTAAGTTGCACACTTCAATAATTAATGTTTGCCTGAACTATAAATTAAGGGAAGAGTAGATTAAAAAAACTGTGATGGCTCGCTCGGAGGGAGTGCAAGCACACCAGTAAATAATTGTCAGTTTTATATGTGAGATAGTATGCATGAACTGTTTTGGAACTTGTTCATTTAGTTTTTAATACATTTTTTTAATTACCTAATTATTTATCCATTTATTTATTTATTTGTTTGTTTGTTTGTTTGTTTATTGTGGGAGGCATGGTGGCCTCATGGTTAGTGTACTCGATTCTGGGGCAAGCAGTCTGGGTTCAAGCCCTGGCCGGGGTCATTGTGTTGTGTTTTCGGGCAAAACACTTTACTCTCACAGTGCCTCTCTCCACCCAGGTGTATAAATGGATACCGGCAAATTTAGTGCTGGGGGTAACCCCGCGATGGACTAGCATCCCATCCAGTGGGAGTAGAAATACTCCTAGTTGCTTCATGCTACTGAAATCGGGATAATCTCCAGCCAGATGAACCTCTTGGCTCGTATGCAGACTTAAACAGCCTTTTGTTTATTTATTATTTAAATATTTATTTATGTTTACATTTAGGTACCATTTAGCATAATTTCTTGCTGGAATGCTGATGCTATATTTTTCATTCCATTGTTCATGTGCAGTCCCCAAGTCTGAACAGATACTCATACACAACCCAATGAAAATCATTGAAAATTCTGACCTCAAGGGGGGTCTCAAAAGTTAAATTTCTTAAAGGAAAGTATGCAGCGTAACTAAATTTCTACAGGTAGGGGTGGTGGGAGTTTGAAACCAAAATCCCTCCCTGGAAGGAAATTCCCAGAATTATAGCATATGGCCATTATTGTCACTATTGTCATTATTGCCATTGTCATTGTTATTACTGTAATCATTTTTACTCTTTTTAAATTAATCATAGATGGTATGCGGATGCCCCCACCTCTACCACAAGGACATATAAAGGAAATCACCAAGGGTAAGTTGAATATGGCAAATCCTGATCATAAACTAACCAATAATTTATTTGCAAGTCTCCTTCCGCTCTGATTATAGTTTAATCCATCTATCGATGAGAAATTATTCTGGCTATACCCCCCCCCCCCCCCCCCTCCCCACCTGCAATGATTAAGGGTATTTTTAAACCTACCTACTTCCTTTTTTCCTTAGGAATATTGTCAGACCATTGTGTATGCTCAAATAAAAGATAATGGGTTAATATTGATGCAAGCAAAGTGAAGCTACTGAAAGCCTTTGACAAACAGTATGTCTCTCGAACTTATCATCAAAGGTGTCGCGACCTCACCCCTCTGGATGTGAGCCAACTGTACCCCCGGATACATCTTTTACCAAATCGCAATCGCTCCCCATCCCCCTTTCCATTAGCTGACAGTAGGACTTGTATACCAATAGTTTTATTTTAGGCTAAAAAAAACGTACAGCTTTCCCTTGCTCGACACATAGCGCTTGAAAAACCCGTCTCAGAAAATTGCGCACATATCTTTCTGTTAAGTATGTGTGTCCAAACCGAGCATGCTTACTTACCAAGTTCGTTTGCATCGCTGCCGCTCATTCACGAGTTTGGAAATTATCCTGAATCTCCCTTCAACTCTTCCTCTCGACACTTCGTCAGTTTGGACCTTCAATTCTTCACTGTTGTTATTGTCCCAAACGTCACGGTGAAAAAAGTATTTCTTTTTAGAAGTCATCGAGACGGCGAGTGTTCAAGCTGTTGATTCCTTTCGTTTTGTTGATGAGTGGGGCCCGGCCGCGACACGTATTTCCCGCGCTTTTCACTCACGTGTTCAGGAGGGTGGTCCACGTGCTGATCACGTGCAAGCTCTTAACATGAGCATGTATAATGAAATGAATGAACTTCTAGGGTACTTACCATTTACATGGGAAAACCGGAAATTCCAGTTGGAAAATCAAATGGTTCGCGCCATTCCGTGTGGGAAGCTTCAGAAAATATGCGCTGTGATTTGGGTTGATGCTATTTTTCTGCTCTTATAAGTCTCTCTAGCTGATGTGGATATACTTTATAGCGATTCCTTCTCCCGCAATGTTCAATTTAATTGTTTAATGTTTATGCCTGAAATTTCCAACCGGATGGTTTTTGTAAATGGTAAGCATCCCTAGTCTTCTGTAATAGGCGATCTGCATGATGGCGTCATTTGACTACAACTACCAGAATCCTTCACTTTTTCTGTTTCTTATGCTAATCAGGGCAATTGTTATTTAAACCCCACTGGGAATTCAAAATTTACATAATGTAAATAGTTGTAGTCAAATGACGACAATTTGCAAATCTGCTATTTTCAAGCATTTTGCCGCACGGGGATTATCTGTTACTGTGCCGAGAAGATTGGTACGATTCTCATAAAGACTCGCTAATTTACTTTTGGTAGCTCAACATGCCAAGGAAGGACGCTTATTGCAGAAGGGCGCTTATTAGGGACTGCACCCTCCCTCCCACTTTTTTCTTTGAACATTTACATCTGAATAAACTTGTCTCCTCGTAGAACGATACTACAGTTGCTACTACCCAGAGAGTGAAGAATTCCGAGAGAGGGTAGCCTCGATTGTGAACTACTTTCGCCAGAACGGTTACAACGTCATCATGGACCGAATGGTGTCCGAAGAAATTACTTCCCAGGGCCCAACACGGTGGGGAGAGAATCAAATAAGAAAGGCAAAGAAGGTGTTGATATTCTTGTCTCCTGGTTTGGTGAACCTCGCCATGGATAGTCGAGAGGATTCGCAATGCCAGGTATAATTTTTCCTTCTTTGTTGCTGTGCTTGTTGACGGGAAATTTTAACGTGAATGAGCCTTGTCCCAACCTCGTGTCCAGGGTCTCTCATTTCCTCGGAAGATGAGGGAACCTGGGAAGGAGTTGACCTTGTCCCAATGATTCTTGGCTTTCGAAGGTCCGTCAAAAGCTTTCTAACATGGCGTCGAAAACGATGAGGGACAAGTTCACATAACATAGAAATTCGGAGATATTTTGTTGAAAAGCACGTGTGTGTCTGGTTCACAGGGAAGGGAAACTCGTGTAGCAGCAGTGATCAGAGCGCTCGTCATCCCAGTGCCATATGTGTGCATATTTGGGTTGATTTTGTTGTTGGCACCCGCCTTGTTCCCGGGGTTTTTATCTGGGTTCTCTGGTACTCCAAATTCCAGTACGTTCGACCAGGCTATGTGGCTTCCTCTCTAAATATTTTAATTTACTTTAACCTCGTGAAATTGGAAATAGTTTCTCTTGCATTCAACTTTCAACCTTACTCTCGTAATGGAAAAAGGTTAGACCTAGCCATTTGCAAAACACGCGTGAATTTTGAATTTCCTTCACATGGCGCCTTTTTCGCAAGCGAAGGGGAGAACTAGTACCACTAGATCAAAATGCGCAATTAAAACTAGTTTAATAACATCTGATCTTTACAATGAACCTGAACTTTATTTGTTCTTGTACTATATGGTATTATTTTCAGTGTTGTCTGATTTTTAATAGAAATACGATGTATCTTTTTAGGATGTTAACCGTGTATGGATTGAGCTTGAAGTGCTTCGAGATATTTACACTAAAAATCGCTCGGCCGCCCAGATGGTGTGCATAGCTTTGCCCGATGTACCGGTAACATTCGAAGTCCTTCCGCTGTGGGCAAAAGTCAGCTACAAATGGCCTGATGATGCTCTGGAAATCTTGAAGCGTTTAAACGACAGACCAATGATATTGCCTGTTTAGGAGTGAGATGTGAATTTCTGAGTGATGCATCGCAGTTACTAGTTACATTTTCTCGGCATTGCATTGCCCGGGATTGGGGGAGGGGGTGGGGTGACTCCCACATTAAAGGACGGGGGTGCTCATCGGAAATTTTGTAAAGAACCCCTAAGAGATACCAAAATCTTGTTTTGTGGACGTGGCTTGAAATCTTTTTCCACCCCTAAGAGATACGAATTCTAAATAACACATTATCTCCTGTCATATTTATTTCGGCTCAATACCCTAAAATGTACCGTAGAAGTTCCAGCAGTGGCGGGTATTTGAGGCTGAACACCCTAAGAGGTAGCAAAACCGTTTTTTAACCCCTTAAAGGTGCGTCGAACACCCCCGTCCTTTTTATATGGGAGTGCCCCAAAGTGCATTGCATTATTGTCACATTACATTGCGTTTCCACAGCTCTCAGTAGATTTTGCAGATCCAGCTAGATTTCAGGAGGGTCTATTATAGAGAGGGTCGTTCATTCTACAAACCGCCTTATTTTGTTCCTTGGAAACCGCAGACCGCTTTCTGTTTCTCCTAAAAACCGAAACCGCTTTACTAGTAGGACGATCGATTTTTTTTTTTTTTTTTTTTTCACAATACTTAAATTCTTTACGAAATGTTAGCTCAATAATCGTATTTCACCTCACAAAGACCAGAAGATCTTAAGACCAGAACGAATTGTTTCTTACTCCATTCAGGAACCAGTGAACAAAAAGGTGTTGACGTCTAATGGGCTGTTCACAACACGAAAATCGCTTCAGATGTTTATAACGAAGCGTGTAAGAGTACACGTTTTGAGCGCTTTATGTTTGAATGATCGCCACAAAAACACGCAGAAATTAACGGCGAGCTGAATTTATGACTTCCCGCAACCGCGCGATAATTTCTCAATCGTAAACCGGCAGATAAATGTTAATGTATCGCAAACAGGCACTCAAAATTGGCTTAAACCGCCAGAGTATAATAGACCCTCTGTCAGCTGTTATTCAAAATGAAAACCCACGCTATTTCTCAGCTGATGAATCAAAATTCTACAGTCTAAAACAGTTTTGAAGGGAATTTCCTCATTAGCTTCTGTTGACCCAATGTAAAGTAGTTCTAGCAATTTATTTCAGTTATTTATCGAGGAGAAATTTTCATGAAGGGTTAGCAAAAGCAACTGATTCAGGGGTCGAGAGACAAAACAAAAGTTCACGTAACCTGTATAAAATGTCATTTCATTCATTATTTAACACAGGGTCTTTGTTGTTTCAATAATTAGGGAAATATTCCTTTACTCATTCATGGCTTGCTTTAAGCAACTAGGTATGAATTTATGAATTACAATTATTTATAAGTGATACTGTGAGGAAAGCTAGATCAAGTTTTCCGCAGGCATTCATCAACCAGGTGTTCGTGTATGTTCAGTATGAATTTCATAGAAAAGATTATTTAATATTTATAAAAAAAAAATAGTGAGTTTTCTTTTTAACTTTCTTTAAGGTAAGTCAGAGATACACCCACCCAGGTGTATAAATGGGTACCGGCGAATTTAATGCCGGGGGGTAACCCTGCGATGAATTAGCACTCCATCCAGGGTAGGAGTAGAAATACTCCTGGTTGCTTCATGCCACTGAAACCGAGATAAGCTCCGGTCTGATGAGCCACTCGGCTGGTATGCAGGCTTAAGCTACATATCTGTACATTTTCGGCTTTAAGCCTTCTTAAACGTAAACTATTTATGAACTTTATTACAGTGTAAATTAGAAAGTTAAGGGAGCCTTGTGTAGTTTCACCTGTAGTTGCCTATAGGCAATATACTTAAGCTTGACACAGCAGTCAAACGTATACTGCGGGCTCTCTTCAGAGTTCCCGCCAAACCTGCCGCTATCAGATGTCCCAAGTTTGCAAATTAACCTGCATTCAAGCCAAAAACGTAAGCCATTTACTGGAAGCTGTAAAAGCTTTTTTTGCGGAATCCTCATAAAAAGTTAAGAGCAAATTTAATGTCGTCTTGTGTTTTCGTTTTCAACTCTAAGTAAACTAATAACGTTTTGTAAAACAACTTACCCCTTTGCCCTGGGCCGGAGCTAGTAACAGGTAAACCGAGGTATTGCCTCAGTCACTATTTTTGTTTTGGTTTATTTTTGTTGGTTATAGTCATCATAAACACCCTAAATACCCAGAAAGAGAATTCAACCATGGACCTTCCCTCAGTCATAATCTTTTCATGGAAATTGCCTCTGTCTTTTTTTTTTTTTTCTGGCCACGGCCCTGTTTGCTTACTGTTTTATGAACCATTTTAGCTTGCGCATGGTTGTGTGTGGTTGTTTAGCTGCTTTTTTTGTGGCACTTATGTGAAATGAATGTTCTCAAAAGATCAAAGTACAGGATAAACTACTGAGCTTGCTTTGATTGACTTGTTTTGTTCTTGCTCAAAGGGCGGACCTCTGGATTCTAAAGTCTTTCGCTGAAGAGTAACTTCAAGTAAACTGAAACCACATATGAGCTAAGCTATGTGAACACATATACATTTGCCCGGCGGTAGTTGGCGGTAGTTTAATGCCATCTGAGGTGAGGATTACAATCAAGTATTGAAAAAGGATAATTACAGGAAATACATGATAATAAATAAAGGCAGGCAGTGCAAACACTTGCCTGAAATATAACACAAATATTCAAAAATGTATGTAGAAAAAACAGTTCACAATATATGTGACAATGTATATGTGTTCTCTATGAAGTGACCAATAACAGTAACGCTGTTGAGAAAACGGTGACAAAGAATGCGTGAGACCCCGTCTAATAATGAGTACAAAAAATTTGCTTTCAAGTATAAATAACAAAATAGAACAAAGACCAAAACCATCAGCCACGCGGCCGAGACAAAAGAAATATCTCGCCTTAAACGAGGACAAGTCGCCATCCGGCGAAACGTACCCTACTTTAATGTGATCAAAGACAATTACGAGAACACTATATGAGCAGACCACGTAGGGGACCCTACTAGGGAATTATTGTTGCGCCCTTGACGCACGGTCAAGGCACCTTCGAAAAACTCGTAATCAACCACAAATCCCCCAAAATTCCGAACTAAGACAGGCCAAAAGGGGGAAGAAGGCCAATATGGTAGAACTAATGTGCCCTGGGCCTTAGAGTGAGACATAAACTTAAGCACCTTCGACAGGAGAACGACTGGTGGCACCACCCACCAATTTAATTTCGCCTTGCCACGCTTGAAAAAATGCGTCCACGCCAGATGAACCTGGATTCCAGAACCTAGAAAAGAATCTCGGAACTTTGCAAAACGTGGAAAAACAGTCAACAATATGGGGACCCCATCGATTGTCCAGTTAATAATAAAATAGTCCGCTTCCTCGTTCAGGGAGCGCGGGATCCAATCGATCTCCAAATTGATCCCGTGGTTGGAACAAAAGAATATGTCAGAAGCTCATAAATGCAGATCGAAATGCATGCTACCAACCTGCACAATTCTAGCCGCCTGTTGGTTGTCGGTAAACCATTTTACCCGGGAACTGGAAAGAAAGGGGCTCAATGTATCCAAAACAAAATGGATAAGTAGACTCACTCTGCGTCCGTTCTACGTTCGTGAACATTCTATGGGCGAAAATATCTTTCCGAAGAATATGACCACCGCAAGTGATATCGTTAGCGTCCGAATAAACTGAAATAAATAGAGGATTGCAATTGAATACATCCCTAGAATTAACACGACGAAGATTATCCCTCCAGAATTTAAGCTCGACAATAGAATATCTGTCTAAAAGGGAAGGAGTATCTCAGTCTTGTGCTGCTGCGACAGACATTTGGCAATGCTTTGTCATGATGCTA